TGAGGATCAAAGACTCAGTCCCAAGCTTATTCTTCCAGACTTAAATTTTCAGGGTAAAGCTGAAGACCTGGCCCATGAACCCCTGATTCAACGAATGGAGGTTGGACAAAGTCAGAGGAGACTGAAGAAGAGCTGTTTGATTTGGGGAGTGGGGTAGCAGTGGTTTAGCTGGAGTCTGTTGTGTAAGGAGGGTCTCAGAAAGAGGGAAGGGCCCTGTGCTGGTAGACCAACCTTGGGTGCAGACACGGAGTCCTGATTTGTCAGGTGAGTCTGAGAAATGACAAAAAGGCCTCAAGTGGGGCCCTCAGTGTTTGGTGAAAATGAGATGGAAGGAGTACATCATAGTGACTCCGGAGTCCTTAAACCTGGTGCCAGCCTCATTCCAGTTTCCTGTCAGCTAGCAGCTTTGGCTAAGTTAAAAAAAGTCTATATAGAAGAGGATGCAAGATGGCTGCTCAGGTAGACATCTAACCGCAGCAGCACACAACAATTTCAATGGAATACAACTAAAATGTAGAGTGGACATCGCCCAGAGCTACAGGTAGTCGACTGACTGAAAATTCTACAACAAGAAGGAAAGAGAAAACCAGAAGGAAAATCAGAGGAGCTGAAAAAAAGCCTAAGGTACGGAGACATGCTGCACGCCTGCACCTGCGCGCGCGGAGAGGTTGCAGCCGGAGAGGAGGAGAAGGCTGGGTGCTGCCTGGCGTTCCCTAGCAAATAAAACCCCCAGCCTGGGCTGAACCCCCGAACCAGCAGCGCTGAGCCCCAGTTATGGGCCAGACCCTAGGGACCCAGGCTCCGGTAGGGGGAGACGGGGCTGTGAGGCGGAATCCCAGGGGAGCAGCGAAAAGCGGAGCCCCCAGAGTCGCGCGCACATTGTACGCAGAGGACTGAATGTTGACTCTGATGCTGGATTACCCTAACGGGAAGAAACAAAGCCTCCGGCGGTGCTGAGCCTCAGTCCGGACTGCTCTGAACCCCAGATCTAGGCCAATCCCTGGGGACCCAAGCTCAAGCAGAGGGAGACGGGGCTGTGAGGTGGAGTCCTGGGAGAGTGGCGAAAGGCCAAGCCCCTGGAGTCGGGCACATTGCTTGCAAGGGAAGGAATGTTGACTCTGATGCAGGATTGCCCTGGAGGGAAGGAAACAGGAGCCCTGGCCGTGTTGGACACCAGTTTTGACTGCTCTGAACCCCAGTCCTAGGCCAGACCCTGGGGACCCAGGCTCAGGCAGGGGGAGACGGGGCTGTAAGGCGGAATCCTGGGGAGCGGCAAAAAGCGGAGCCCCCAGAGTCGCGCGCACTGCGCGCAGAGGACAGTCTGTTGACTCTGATCCTAGACTCCCCTAGCGGGAAGGAGAAAAAAAAAAAGCTCCAGACTGGAGGAATGCGACAAGGAGCAGGAGCCCCTGCTGGACACCGGCCAGCCGGGCACCAGCCAGCTGGGTGCCAGCAGGGAGCTGGACGACGGGGCCCCCGGGGGGGGGGTGCCCCTGAGCCTTTGACCACTGAGCTCGGGCAATGGAGCCAAGGCCGGGGGCTGCTTCCTGGGCGGCGCCGACCCTGGCAACAGGCTGAAGCAGTGCGGGAGCCCGCGGAGAAAAAAGGGGTGCCACAGGCCAACCTGCTGAGCTCCCAGGACAAGGAGGAAGAAACCAAAGAAGTTCTCAATATGAAGAAATCAAGTGAGAGCAAAAGATAGTAAAATTACTTAAGAAAGAATACAAAGAAGATCTTGAAAAATCAAAGACTAAGTCAGAACTCAACTCACCAGCCAACATTGCAACATAAATGCGTTTAAAAAAAAAAAAAAAAAAAAAAAAAAAAAAAGGACAGAATGTTGGAACAGCGGCGGCCAGGCCTAGAGTGGCCAGGCACAAGGCAGTGGCAGCCGGGCCCGGAGCAGCAACGGCCAGGCCCCAGAGCAGCAGCAGCCAGAACCATAGCATCAACAGTCAGCACTGGAGCAGCCAGACCTGGGGCAGTGGCAGCCAGGCCTGAGGCAGAGGCGGCCAAGCCCAGGGTGGCCAGTCCAGGAACACCCAGACCCGGAGTGGCTGGGCCCGGAGAAGCCAGGCCCAGAGCAGCCGGGTTGGGAGCAGCCAGGCCCGGAGCAGCGGCTGCCAGGCTGGGAGCAGCCAGGCCCGGAGCAGCGGCTGCCAGGCTGGGAGCGGCCAGGCCCGGAGCAGCCGGGTCGGGTGCGACCAGGCCCGGAGCAGCAGGTGCCAGGCTGGGAGCGGCCAGGCCCGGAGCAGCGGCTGCCAGGCTGGGAGTGGCCAGGCCCGGAGCAGCAGCTGCCAGGCTGGGAGCGGCCAGGCCTGGGGCAGCGGCTGCCAGGCTGGGAGCGGCCAGGCCCGAAGCAAACCGTGTCGGGTGCGGCCAGGCCCGGAGCAGCAGCAGCCAACTCCAGAGCAACTAGGTCGGGAGCGGGAGTGACCAGACCCGGAGCAGCTGGTTGTGGAACGAACCAGAGCAACAGAGGCCAGGCCCGAAGCAACCAGGCCCGGAACAGCTCACTCCTCGCCTGCCCCTGCCCCACGGCTGCCTCTCAGACATGGCTGGAAACTTTTGTGGGAACTTGAGGGTCTGCTGAATCAAGTGATGAAGGCTTACATCTGGATGTGTTGAGTTAGTATAGGGCTGGGGTGTTGATCTGTGTTGATCTGTGAGTGCCTTGGGTGGGGTCTGGATGAGGCTGGTTGACCTATTTGGAAATGTCTTTTGTGTGAAGTGTATCATTGGGCATGTGGTGATATTATTGATATGAGAAAATGCTAAGTAACTGATTTACTATCTGAAAAGGGATTTACTATCGGGGAAAGGGAGGGAGGAAGAGACTGAACATAAACTGCACCTATGGATGAGGACAATGGGGGATGGGGAACCTGGTGGAGGGGGGAAGAAATGAGGAACCTTTGTAACAATATGAACAATAAAGATTGATTAAAAAAATACAAAAAAAGTCTATATATCAATAAATCTTTCTTATTAATGAAATATTTCTTCCTAAGTTGACAGAATCAAATGAGAAAATGTATGAAATGTTTAACTGAGCTAGATCGACACCATCTATATCTACATTTATATCTGTATCTGTATATCATCTATAGACCTATATCATCTATGTCTGTAACACATAGATGGGTGGGAGGACTCTGAAGGTCTGGACAAACCTTTATTATTTATAAGTTTTGCTTCTCTATTTTCAACCAGGGCATTTGGGCTCTGGGGAGTGAGAACACTTCGGGTGTGTCTGGTTCCCTGGGTCTCCCCAGCCCAGTCTCTTTGTTAGAGGATGGTGAGAGTGTGGGACCCAGAGTGGAGGATCTTGGTGGAGCCTGGGGTGTCAGCAAGGGTGGTTGTTGAGGATGTGGGAGCCTAAGGCTATTTTGTTGGTTACTGTGTTGGGGTCCAGATCAGAAATCTAGTCCCCTGAGTGAACCAGATTGCTTTGTTGCCATGGAGACTACTGTCTTGGTTCAAACCCATTCCTCCTACTTTCTACAAAAATAGTTTGGGAGACAGTAAGGTCATTTTCATCAATGAAAGATGATGCAAGATGATGCATGTGGATGGCAAGTATGGATGACTTAATGGTGATACAGCCCCCAAAAATGATTTGTCCAAGAACAGTATAGGGAAGGAAGGGAACAAGCATTGTGAGGCTCCATTAGCCTGAGTCAGTTTATCACACCTTACACAGTCCTCTCTTAGGGCCATGGGAGGTTAACTAGGGGAAGCTCAATATTGGGACCTTGAGAGGAGAGAGAGGAAGTCAACACAGAGGGACTAATGGAGGGCCTATGAATTCTGTATACATTGACTGGCAGTCCAGTAATAATTACAGCTAACATTTATTGAACAACTACTATATGCCCAAGTTGTACAGATTATATCCATCTTTATGGGCTGTCCCACCCCCCAACGCTCCACAGCTAATCCTCATGTAAGGATATTTTCTCAATTGATTTCTAGAGACAGTGGAAGGGAAGGAGGGAAGAGAAGAGCAGAGAGAGAGAGAGGGAGAGAGAGAAACATCGATGTGAGAGAGACACATTGATTGGTTGCCTGACCGGGGCTGGGGATAGAACCTGTAACCCAGGCACATGCCTTTGACTAGGAATTGAACTCACAATCCTTTAGTGCATGGGCTGGCACTCGAACAACTGAGCAACACTAGCCAGGGCTGGGTTTTTTATTATTTTTTTTAATGGGAAAAGTTATGTTTTTATTTTTATTCATTCCTAATATATATTTAGTATTTCCTTCCACCATTAGTCTAGGCAACAGATCACAGTATTATTATCAGAGTTCTGTCTTTGTCACCTTGGAAATCAAAGCTATTAAATCAAAGAGTACTGACACTGCAGATTGACAAAATGATCTAGGCTATTTTCTGGAACCTGGGGGTATCTCAAGGTATGTGGATACAAATAGCATTCCCCCCTCCTGCATTGCTTTATGAGCCATGTCAAGATAAGGACTGAGGGAACAATATGAGCAAAATGTTCAGATTATCACTGTTGGAGATTTTTATCATGTGTCTTCAGGCTAAGAGGTCAATTTATTGGACTAATATGAAAGTCCAAAAAAGGGTTCTGATTAACTAGTCTCACTTACTTTTTTGTTTGCTAGTTTATTCTTTCTCCTCTTTATTCATTCTTTTATTGAGATATACTAGTAAGTCACATCTCATGAAATTCACCCAGAGAGATAAATAATGACTTACCAAAGGCAACCAGTTGGCAGCTGTCAAAGCTGGGGTTTCATCTCTGAGGTCCTCTATGTGTTCTGGACACACCGGCTAAGTGCAATTGAAAAGGTACAAACTGACTTCCTATGCTTCGGTTCTGCGTAGGCCCCGCTTTTTGTGGCTTTTCTGGCCTTTCCCTTGTAGGGGGAGGGTGTGTCTGGGACTGTGAGGTGATGAGCCCAAACTTTGTCTTGGAATAAACCATGGATCACCTTTCTCTGGTTTCATTCTTTATGCGTGTTTCCAGCCTTGCTTCCAGACATGTATCTGCTGCCTAAAAGGGAGTTTTCTAGACTAAAAAATCAGTCTTTACCTCAACTATTATCTTCTTCTCCTTGAACACAGGTAACTCACAGGAGTGGATGTTTCTGACATTACATGGTAAAAGAGGAGAAAAGAAAACAAAGTCCAAGTAAGTCTTCTGTTTTCCTCGACAGATTAAATATGAATTAAAAACAATGCAAAATAAACTAGTTCATTCATTTTCTTTTTCTCTCCTCTCTCTCCTCCACTCCATTTTCTTAAAGCCTGTATGTATCATGATGAATGTGGCTTTGAGGTCCAACTTCGGTGCCTGGGTCATGGGTCTTTAAAAAAAATCAGTAGGTGGTTTATAGCAGAGCAGACATAAAGCTCCATTTACAGCAAATAGGTGAGCACAATGGATTGCATGCAGCATTTGGATGTAAATATACCCATTTAAAAATAAAAGTATGGTATGTTGATAATCACACAGTAAGCAGACTGGCATCATGATAAGGTCTTAACTTGGTCCACAATATTCAAGCCTATAGTAGATATTCAATAAAATAGTCATTGAATAACTCTGGGAGTCAAGCTGACTGAATGAACTGATCACTGGACTTTTTAAAAAATCCTCACCTTCTCACCTTTTCCCATTGATTTTTAGAGAGTGGACGAGAGAGGGAAAGGCAGAGAGAAACATCAATGTGAAAGGAACATTGATTGGTTGCTTCCTGCACGAGCCCTGACCAGAGTCTGGGCCGGAAGGAATCTGCAACCAAGGTGTGTGCCTTTACCTGGAATTGAAGCCAGGACCTTTTGGTCTGTAGGGCAATGCTCTATCCACCCAGCCAAACAGGTGAGGACATGGACTTTTGACACCACAAATCAGATAAACAATTTTAAAAAATTATTGATGAAAGAGAGAGAAAGAGAGAGAGAGAGAGAAAGGGAGAGAGAGAGAGAAATACTAATCTGTTGTCCCACTTATTCATGCATTCATTGGATTCCTGTATGTGCCCTGACTTGGGATTGAATCCACAACCCCGATGTATCAGGATGACATTCTAACCAAATGGAGCTACCTGGCCAAGGCCAGATAAACAATTTAAAAATGCATGAATTCTGTGGTTATTCCATGACTCAAAATAGTCCTTTAAAGTCAACCATTGTCACAATAGTATTGTGAATTAGAGAACAAAAACCCAAATTTAAATTTGCTTTCATCAAGGAAATCTCATGTGGTAATCATTTGTTTCCCACTTTCCCTAGTGGTCTGAAGTGTGAACAGCATTTGCTGTTGACTTAAGCAAGCAGGCTGCCTGCTGGGCCCCATTCAGCTTTTTTTTTTACATTATAAACTGATTTTTAAAAATTAAATTATTATCTGTGTACATATACCATTGCCCCTTCTATACATATACCATTGCTCTCCCCCTCCCTCCCCATTTAGCTTTTGATCAAGGCAAATCCAGGAGCTGCTTTGGCAGCTAAATGCACAGATACGTGATGTGATGTGATGTGATGTGATGTGATGTGATGTGATGTGATGTGATGTGGTATGATGTGATGTGATGTGATGTGATGTGATGTGATGTGATGTGATGTGATGTGGTATGATGTGATGTGATGTGATATGGTATGATGTGATGTGATGTGATGTGGTGGCAAACCACTGCTGGATGTGAAATGAGAGGGAGAGTTTTTAAGCGTGCCTAGCCGCTCACTTTCATGGGTGCAGTGGAAGCAACCGGGGTAGTCCCCTTTTAGGAATGCCTTCTCCACCCTCCCTCATTCCAGTAGGCAGACTAATAATAACCTTAGAGTCATCTTGACTCCTCTTTCTTTTTTATATTCCTTATCAGATCCATGAGCAAATCCTGTTGGTTCTACCTTGAGCATATAGGTATAATCTCACCACTTTGAACTACCTCTGCTGGTACTATACTAGACCAAGCTACCATCATTTCAGACCTAGGTGTCCTGCGTTTGCCCTGATCTTCTTATAAACTATGCCCAACAGAGTGAGCAGAGGGATTCTTTTTGAAAATTTAACACAAATCACGTAACTTCTCAATTCTTCTAAAAAAATTCCAGATTCCCATCATGCTCATAGTAAATCCTTACTGGGATATACTAAGTCCTTAGAGGGACTTATTCCCCAGTGGTCTCGCTGAGTTCACCTGCCACTCTCTCCCTGGCTCACTCCACCTCAGTCACACTGCCTTCTTTTCTGTTCTTGGAACATACCAGGCAGCCTCCCATCTCCATGGCTGTCCGGCTCCCTGATTCTTTGCTCTGCCTGGAACATTGTTCTCCAGAGAGCCATGAGGTTCCCTCTCTCACATCCTTTGAACCTTTGCCTTCAAATGTTTCCAAGCAGAGCACGGCCACCTTGCCAAGCTGGGAAGGCAAGCATAGGCATTCAGAGAGGCTACTGAATTTGCATAGCAGAGCCCCAGAGTGGACAATCCTAGGCAGAGAAAGAGTTCCAGAAATCCTGAGACTGTAACTTGTATACGAAGCCACATATATGCAGAGTGAAACTCCATGAGGCTGGTCAAAAGACGTATGGGGGCCGAAACCGGTTTGGCTCAGTGGTAGAGCGTCGGTCTGTGGACTGAAAGGTCCCGGGTTCGATTCCGGTCAGGGACATGTACCTTGGTTGCGGACACATCCCTGGTGGGGGGTGTGCAGGAGGCAGCTGATCGATGTTTCTCTCTCATTGACGTTTTTGGCTCTCTATCTCTCTCCCTTCCTCTCTGTAAAAAATCAATAAAATATATTATTTAAAAAATAAAAAAAAAGACGTATGGGGAACTGCAAACTGAACAATTCCCAGAGTCATGTAGATCTGGGAAAATTCGAGTTCCAACCAGCTACAGGAAAAAGTTCTCACTGAATTCAGTGAATACAGACATCATTCATATAGAGACCCCGGAGGGCCAGCCTAGTAGTCAGACTAAACTATTTCTAGAGTAAAGGCTTTTAAGACTCATCCAAACAAAGTATAAGAACATACCTTGAAAGAGTTAACTTAATCTGCATGTATTATAACATAACTGCCTGTTAGAACAAAGTCTAGAATTCAGGAAAAGAAGGAAGCAAAACAATATAGAATTCACATGTATCATAAATGACAGAGATGATATGATTAAAAGACAAGGGCTTTGCCGAAACCGGTTTGGTTCAGTGGATAGAGCATTGGCCTGCGGGCTGAAGGGTCCCAGGTTCAATTCCGGTCAAGGGCATGAACCTTGGTTGTGGGCACCTCCCCAGTAGGGGATGTGCAAGAGGCAGCTGATGGATGATTCTCTCTCATCGATGTTTCTAACTCTCTATCCCTCTCTCTTCCTCTCTGTAAAAAATCAATAAAATATATATTAAAAAAAAAAAAAAGACAAGGGCTTTAAAACACCTATTGTAAATGTGCTCAGTGACATATAGGAAATCGCTTAAATAATAAGTCCAAGGAAAAAAATAACTAAATGGACCTGTAGAGCTAAAAAATTTAATGTGGCCCCAGCCAGTTTGGCTCAGTGGATAGAGCCTGCATATTGAAGGGTCCTGGGTTTGATTCCGGTCAAGGGCACATGCCTGGGTTGTGGACTCGATTCCCAGTAGGGGGCGTGCAGGAGGCAGCTGATCAATGATTCCCTCTCGTTATTGATGTTTCTATCCCTCTCTCACTCTCCCTGCCTCTCTGAAATTAATAAAAACTATATCTTAAAAATTTAATGTGAAATGAAAATTTTGCCAGATTAACAGCAGATTAGACGCTACAGAAGAACAGGTCAGTAAACTTGCGAACATGGTAATGTATACAGTCCACTCTGAAGCACAGAAGGAAGGAGAAACTCCACTAGATCCGCTCTGTCCTGTGGGAAAATATTGAGCAGTACTAATATGTGTAACTATTTGTATGTGTAATTGCATTACTGAAGTGTCAGAACGGGGAGGGTCGGGAAAGAAATATATTTGAGGAGATACTGGCCAAAGTTCTTTCAAATTTAATGATGACTATAAACTCACAGATACTCAAAGAATCACAAGCAGATAAACATAAAGACAACCAAACCCAGAAGGTGGAGGAGGTGGGCTAGAAAGAGTCAATGGGGAGAAAAAGGGCACATCTGTATTATTTTTAACAATAAAGATAAATTCTAACAAACAAAGAAAAGAAAACCAAATCCAGACACATCAACACCAAATTGCTGAAAACCAGTGATAATGGAAAATTGTTTAAAATGTAAGAAGGCTGGGTTGATACATCTGGGTTGATGACTTTTGCTCTGTTATTCTGCAAGAATTAGTTTGTTAACTCACTCACTAACAGGGACATTGGGTTTTCGCTTTTTGGTGATTATTAATAAATCTGCTATAAGTATTCTCATACAGATAAAAAAAATACAGAGAGCCGAGACCGGTTTGGCTCAGTGGATAGAGCGTTGGCCTGTGGACTGGAGGGTCCGGGTTCGATTCTGGTTAAGGGCATGTACTTTGGTTGCGGGCACATCTCCAGTGGGGGGTGTGCAGGAGGCAGTTGATCAATGTTTCTCTCTCATCGATATTTCTGACACTCTATCTCTCTCCCTTCCTCTCTGTGAAAAATCAATAAAATATATATTTTTAAAAAGCACAGAGAATAAAGATACAGTAAATATAGAAGAACAAAGGTTAGAATTGCCACAGATTTTTTGTCAGGAACAAAATAAACTAGAAGTCATCAGGACATCTTTAAAGCCTAAAGACAAAAATGACATCAGCCTAGACTTCTTTCTATATTTAGTGAAAATATTCTTCAAAACAAAAACAAGTTGAAACCTGTTTAGCTCAGTGGATAGAGCGTCAGCCTGTGGACTGAAAGGTCCCAGGTTCAATTCTGGTCAAGGGATTCTACCTTGGTTGCAGGCACGTCCCCAGTGGGGTGTGTGCAGGAGGCAGCTGATCAATGTTTCTCTCTCATTGATGTTTCTAGCTCTCTATCTCTCTCCCTTTCTCTCTGTAAAAAATCAATAAAATATATTAAAGAAAACAACAATAAACAAACACAAGCATTTTTCAAATACTAAAGCTGAGAAATTTTTGTTTCTTGCAGATATGCACTATAAGAAACATTAGAGAATGTTCTTCAGGCAGAAGGAAAGCGATACCAGATGGAAACTTGGATATACACATAGGAATGAAGACCACTGGAAAAAGGAAACAGAAAATAATGTTTCTTATTTAAAAAAAATTTAAAAGGTAAATTTTAAAAGCAACATAAACCTTGTTCAGTGGAGTTTATAACATCTCTA